AACAGCAAACCCGCAAATTGCGGCTCTGGGACCTTCAACGAGTTAGCGAGTGCAGCGCTCCCGTGGTCAGTCACCGCCGTCCCATGCGTGGGATCCTGCTCAGCACCCCAGGTCACAGGGGGTGCTTTTGGTCCCAGGAGCCCCTACTTTATTTCTTACAGCTGTGGGGGTGCTGCCTGTCCTCCACAGGTACTCGTGGTGCAGCAAGCGGCTGCTGGAGCAGCGGTACTCCTGGTCCAGCCACCTCACCCTGGCCGACCTCATTCCCCTGGAGAGCCCAGCTGGCGCTGGCTGTGCTGGGAAGCAGGACTGGCCAGAGAGAGTGGTGGTGGGGCACAACGTGGCATTCGACCGGGCGTTCATCAAAGAGCAGTACCTCATCCAGGTAACCCACAGTGCCATTGCTTCGTGCCGGCAGCTGCTGTTTGTTACCAGGATAGTTGTTTGCGTTGGCTTTTAAGGGTTATTTTGGCAGATGCTGTTCTGCACAGATACCCCAGGGTTGTGCTCGCCTTGTCCTGCAGAACGGGTTGAGGTTGAATGCCTTCAGAGAGGGATACTCTTGCACCCCATAAGGTTGCTGGAGGCTGCAGAGTTGCAGCTGGGGACATGGCAGGAGCCTTTGAGCAGCTGGCAGCCTGCACTGGGGGTGCTCTTGGCTATCAAAAGAGGGGTGCTGGGAGGGAAAGCTTTGCCTTGACAAAAAGCAGCCCAAGCAGAGGACTTGCAGCTCTGTAACACAGGGCAGTGCTTGCTGGCAGCTGCACGACGTTTGGCAGCATGTTTTTCCACCAGCATATCCCAAAACACCTCTCCTCTCTCCCCCGATGTGTCCCAGGGCTCCCGGGTGCGTTTCCTGGACACCATGAGCATGCACATGGCCATCTCGGGGCTGACGGGCTTCCAGCGCAGCCTCTGGATGGCTGCCAAGCACGGCAAGAGGAAGGGAATGCAGCAGGTCAAGCAGCACATAAAGAAAACACGCAGCAAAACGGAGGGGCCAGCTGTGAGTAAGGGCGCTGAGCCGCTGCAGTGGCGTGGGTGGCAGGGGACCGTTTGCTCCTGTACCGGGACCATCTGCTCCCGTACTGGCACAGTAGGAGCTGTTGGAGCAGCTCTGCTGGGTGAATCTCTCCCAGCACCTTTCAGGTGAGGTGGCCTTGGTTTCAAATGGAGCAGTGGCATGCTTCACCCCTCCTGACCTCGGCCGCGGCCAGCCCTTGTCCTGTCTGACACTCCCTGTCGTTCGCAGGTCACTTCGTGGGACTGGGTGCACGTCAGCAGCATCAACAACCTGGCGGACGTGCACGCGCTGTACGTCGGGGGGGAGCCGCTGGAGAAGGAGGCGCGGGAGCTCTTTGTGAAGGGGACTATGGCCGACATCAGGAATCACTTCCAGGTGCGGGATGGGCAGCGGGAGCTGGAGATGGGAGCAGGGCGGGAGCAGCTGCTGGAGGAGTTTCCATTTTGCTGCCTTTTCTTGTGAGGGCTCTGGGTGTGCGTGGGGCTGTGACATCCCCCCAGCCTTCTGCAGCTCTGGTGCCTTGCCCCGTGCCGGCAGGGGGGTGGCTGCTTTGCCTGCTCTCACCTGCCTCTGCCCCCAGGACCTGATGTCGTACTGTGCCCGCGATGTCCAGGCCACCCACGAGGTGTTTCAGGAGCAGCTGCCGCTCTTCATGGAGAGGTGAGAGCTGCTGAGCTCTGCCTGGTGTTGGCTGTGGTCTTGGCCGGCCGCAGGGAGGATTGCAGTCCGTCTGGGGATGTGTGTGGCCCTTCTTGTCCTTGGGGTGGTGGTGGGAGGTTTCGGGGGGGAGCCCTGAACCCCGTTTCAGAAGGGACCTCAGACTCCCCATCTGCAAGTGGGAAGGAATAAATGACAGCGCATTTATGGAGGAAGTGAGCAGACTTAGGCAGATCAGAGCGACACAGCTTTGGGGTTAGTGCACGGGGTTGCTTTTAGGGCAGCAGTTTATGTGCAGGGCAGGCAGAGGTACAGGGATCCTCACAGGTTTAGGGGAAGAGCATTGAGGGTTGTGCAGGGCTGGGAAACTCTAGGTGAAGACACGTTCGTGTCTGTCATAGTCTGGTGCTTCCAGGGCAAATCCTTGCCAATAGACATCTAATTCCTCGCTGCTTTGGGCTCTAGGTGCCCCCACCCTGTGACATTTGCAGGGATGCTGGAGATGGGGGTGTCCTACCTGCCGGTCAATGGGAACTGGAAGAGGTACCTAGACGATGCTCAGGGCATCTACGAGGAGCTGCAGAAGGAGATGAAGAAGTCTCTGATGAACCTGGCCAACGATGCCTGCCAACTGCTGCATGAGGACAGGTACCCGTGGGCTAGGGGTGCAGGTCCTGCCACTCGCAGGACAGAGACCAGACGCCGGGTGGCTGTGGGGGCTGCGGGCGGGTGCTGGGGACAGGAGCAAAGCTGCGGTGTGACAACGGTGTGTCGGTAGGTACAAGGATGATCCCTGGCTCTGGGATCTTGAATGGGACACTCAGGAGTTTAAGCAGAAGAAGAATCCAGGGAAGAAGAAGAAGAAGGATCAGGACAGGAACAGCAAAGCCTCCACAGTGGCAGTGGGCACAGACGGGTCCGTGCAGGAGTTGCAGGAAGGTGAGTGTGAGTGGTTCCTGGGGACGAGGGATGCTCGAGGGACATCTTCCTGTAGGCGAGCAGAAGAAGGGATACAGTTCATTGGCGTTGGCAGGGTGAAGCATCGCTGGCCTGTGTCCCCATGCTGGGGTGCGTGGTGGGGGGCTGGCTCCAGGTCCCCATCCCCGATGGGGCAGCACAGAGGGCTCTTTGCCAGCCAGTCCTCCTTTCCCCACCAGACCCTGGTCCCCCTGGTGAGGATGAGGAGCTGATAGCCCCTGCGAGCCGGGTCTGCCTGGAGCGTCTGAAGGAGACTGTTGCACTGCAACCCAAGAGACTCCAGCACCTGCCGGGCCACCCGGGGTGAGTCGGGGACCCTGGGTGTCCCCAGGGGTTGCCCTGCGCTCTCTGACCCATCCTTGCTGCTCCCCAGCTGGTACCGCAAGCTGTGCCTGCGCCTGGAGGAGGCAGGGTGGGTGCCGGGACCCAGCCTCATCAGCTTGCAGATGAGGGTGACCCCGAAGCTGATGCGCCTGGCCTGGGACGGCTTCCCCCTCCATTACTCGGAGAAGCATGGCTGGGGCTACCTGGTACCTGGGCGGCAGGACAATTTGCCTGCAGCCCCCTTGGAGGACGAGGGCCCTCCCTGCCCGCACAGGTAAGGGGGATGTAGCAGGGTGCCAAGCTAGGGGCTGCCTTATGGGGGGATTTGGGACTCCCCAGGACCCTGCCCTGGCGTTGCCCAGGAGCCTCAGCCCCTATCGTGGGTGCGTGAGCCCTGCCCTCTCCCCTGCCAGGGTGATCGAGTACCTGTACAGGCAGCACTGCCTGGAGAGAGGCAAGGAGCAGCCCCCGGGGCCGGAGCCTGCCGTGGAGGATGAGCTGCTGGTGGTGGATGGCAGCACGATGTGGCAGAAGGTGAAGGAAGGGATGGAGGGTCCCTCGGTGGGAGGGAGATGTGGGACTGGGCTTATTCCCATGTGCGTGCGAAAACCAGCCCTGTGCATGGCTCCAGGGACTGGAAGTAAGACATTTCCTTTAGTAAGTATTAAATCCCTGGAGAAGTGGTGTTTGACCCAGCTTCCCTGTGGTCCCTCTGTGCCGCAGGTGGAGGAGCTGAGCCAGCTGGAGGTGGACACGGAGGAGAAAATGGGCAGAGTAGACCAGAGCATGGCACAGGTAAAGGGGGGTTCCTGTGGGATGGGGTGGCAGATTGGTCTCTTCTTCCTTGATTTCCCCCTCCCACCACGCCACGGGTTCTTCCCGGCATCACCTCACATCATTGGTCACAGGAAGAGATGGATGAGCTGTGTGAGCCGGTGGAGGCAAGGAGCCAGCCCTCGTACCATCACGGCAATGGTCCCTACAACGATGTCAACATCCCTGGGTGCTGGTTCTTCAAGCTGCCTCACAAGGCAAGTTGGGTGCTCCTGGGGGCTTCCTGGGGGCTTCCTGGCCACCCCGCATCCCAGCTCCCCCAGTCCTGCCGCACAGCTCTGTCACCTCACCTGTCACTCCGGTGCTGTAGCACTCCTGGGACCCCTGTGATCTTGTCCCATGGGATAGGGTGGTGGAAAGGCATCTCTAGCTGGGGCAGGAGGATGCACAGAGCTTTACTGATGTCAGGTGGTGGTGTGCTGAGCACCTTTCTTGCTGCTAAAGGATGGGAACGCTAACAATGTGGGAAGCCCTTTCGCCAAGGATTTCCTGCCCCAGATGGAGGATGGCACCCTGCGGGCTGCTGTGGGCCGCACCCATGGGACCAGAGCCCTCGAGATTAACAAAATGATCTCGTTTTGGCGGAACGCTCACAAGCGGATCAGGTGAGCAGCTGCCTTCAGCTGAATCACAACATCCCTGCGGGTAGAGGCTGCACTGCAGCTGGGGAAGGTCATACAGACACAGAAGGGGCTCAGCATCTTGCCTGCCATGTGTCCCCCCCAGTTCCCAGATGGTGGTGTGGCTGAAGAAAGGGGAGCTGCCTCGCGTGGTGACCAGGTATGGGGAGGAACGGCCCCAGCTGGGACCATGGTCCCCTCTCTGCTGCTCCGGGAGGGCTCTTGCAGGATGATGCTCAGCCTCCCCTCTGTCCCAGGCACCCTGACTATAACGAGGAGGATGATTACGGAGCCATCCTGCCGCAGGTGGTGACCGCGGGTACCATCACCCGCCGGGCGGTGGAGCCCACATGGCTGACAGCCAGCAACGCCCGGGTATGGCTGCACTCGGGTCCTTGTGGGGGTGTTTTGGGGCACCCTCTGTGTGTTTTGGACTGGTGGGAGCAGCCTGGGTTGGAAATAGGAGTTGGGGCTGGATGCTGGGGTTTGAGGTGGCATTTTTTTGCTCATGTGCTGTTACGGTGGTATAGTGGAAAGAGTCAGCAGAGGGTCCTGAGCTTCAAAATTTGGTGAAAGGAGAAGAAAACACTGAAGCGCCGGTTTCTGTCCTTCCCTAAGCTCCTTTCTTCTGTGCTGGAGGAGCCCCGGTGAAGTAACCGAGCGATCGATGCCCCGCGTGTACGTTAAACTCACTTTTGACTTTCAGAGCAGAGTTTAGGGCATGGGGAGCGCCGTGCTGGCACACCATGGCTGGGGGGGGGAGGCTGCTCCCTGCCGCTGAGGAGGAGAGGGAGGTGCAGGGCTTGTGCTGAGCTGGGCATCGTGTCCCGCAGGCTGACCGGGTGGGCAGCGAGCTGAAAGCCATGGTCCAGGTGCCCCCTGGCTACTCCATGGTGGGCGCGGACGTGGATTCCCAGGAGCTCTGGATAGCCGCCATCCTCGGCGAGGCACACTTTGCCGGCATGCATGGTGAGCCGGGGCTGTTCCCGCAGGGAATGGGTTTGCTGGGTAGTGGGGTGATACCTCCCCCCGCCCCGAGCCTGGTCCTGTTTGGTGTCCAACCCCTGCTCCACTCCGTCAGGCTGCACAGCTTTCGGCTGGATGACTCTGCAGGGAAAGAAGAGCAACGCGACAGACCTGCACAGCAAGACGGCTGCCACGGTGGGCATCAGCCGGGAGCACGCCAAGGTCTTCAACTACGGGCGCATCTACGGGGCCGGGCAGCCCTTCGCTGAGCGGCTGCTGATGCAGTTCAACCATCGGCTGACGCAGCAGCAGGCGCGCGAGAAGGCTCAGCAGATGTACGCGGTCACCAAGGGCGTCCGGAGGTGGGTGCTGCCTGGGGAGGTGGAGGGCGAGTGGGGACAGGGATGGCGGTGGTGTCCCACAGGACCTGGGTGTGGGTCACTTTTCCCCCCCTACAGGTTTCATCTCTCTGAGGAGGGAGAGTGGCTGCTGAAGGAGCTGGACCTGGCTGTGGACAGGGCAGAGGATGGATCGGTGTCGGCCCAGGATGTCCAGCAGCTCCAGAGAGAAGCCATGAAAAGGTGAGAAGCTCTGACCCCGCACGGCTCTGGTGGCATCAGGGCGTGCGGCAGAGGGAGCTGCAGCCCTGCAGGCAGAGAAGGGAGACAGAGCTGGATGGTCCAGATCCTCCCTCCCTGCTGTCCCAGGGATGAGCCCGTTTGCTCTGGGGGCTCCCAGTCTTTCCCAGTCTCTCCCAATGAGCAATTAGCAGCAGGAGGCTGCAGAGGCTTATCCAGCTGCCCCAAACCAGGAGGGAGTGTTGAGGGTCTCAAACGGGGCCCACAGCCTCATTCCACACTTCCAGCAAACTTCCCCTCTGCCCCGCCAGGTCCCGGAGGAAGAAGAAGTGGGATGTGGTGGAGCACCGAGTGTGGGCTGGAGGCACCGAGTCCGAGATGTTCAACAAGCTGGAGAGCATTGCCTTATCCCCGTCCCCGCAGACCCCGGTGCTGGGCTGTCACATCAGCAGGGCCCTGGAGCCTGCCGTGGCCAAGGGGGAGGTAAGGATGGGCCTCTGTGCTGCTGAGCTCTTGGCTTTGCTCGTCTCCGAAATGGAAACCCCATGTTCAGCCCTTCTTAGGTGGTGGAGACCCAGTATGCTCTTGGAGCCATGAAGCAGCCCATTGCCCCTGTTCTTCATTTGCATGCCATCAACAAAACCCAACAACCCTGAATTTAACGGGCTTCTCCCAGGAGGTCTCCTGTATCAGTACGAGGCCCTGGACCCTGCTGCTTCCCTAGCATCCATCTGTGTTTCCTTCCACCAGTTTCTGACCAGCAGAGTGAACTGGGTGGTGCAGAGCTCAGCCGTTGACTACCTGCACCTCATGCTGGTCGCCATGAAGTGGCTCTTCGAGGAGTTTGACATCAACGGGCGCTTCTGCATCAGCATCCACGACGAGGTGCGCTACCTGGTCCAGCAGCAGGATCGCTACCGAGCAGCCCTGGCCCTGCAGATCACCAACCTCCTCACGCGGTGAGATGTGACGGCTGTGGTGTCTCTGGGGGACGAGTGCCAATGCCTCTGGGTTAGGACAGGGCAAGCTCAAGGGACTGGGGTGACACAAAGGGGTCGTTATCTTTGCTTGCAGCAAGCTGGTGCAGAGGAGTTTTCTTCTGCTCAAGGGAAGCTGGCAGCGCTGGAGGTTGCAGTTCCTTCACGTGTGACTTGGGTGGCTGTAAATGGAGCTCAGCTTCAATTTCCAGGGAGGATGTTTTGGCAAGAGGGGGATATAGTCAGCTTTTGGCTCCTGCAGAGATGGGGCTAACTGTTCCAGTTTGCTGGGATGCGAGCGCCTCACTTCCCGTTCCCTTCAGGTGGCAGCAGCCCTTGGGCTTGATTGAGCAGCTAAGAACCTGAAATGTCCCATCCGTCATCTCCCCTCTGCCTTCAGGGGACAGCAAGGGGCACGGCTTGTTGTCTTTGTAGCAAGCACCAGAGCTACTGCCCTTTCCACAGCATGGGATGTTCCCGCTGCTTTCCTGCCCCATGCAAAGTTAAGCTCAGCATAAAAAGCTCCTGCCCTCAAAAGGCTCCCTCTGAGCCGGGTCTGGCACAGCCAGCTTTGCCAAATCCCCTTCCCAGTGCTGTGGGGTACGTGGTTATACCGGAATTGGCCAAAGCCGAGCTGTTTTCTTTTGCACCGAGGCAGGGATACAGCAAACAGCCTTTCTGTGCCGGTGCGGCAGGCGCAGCGGGGGCAGGCGCCCTGACGTTCGTGTCTTTGTGCCAGCTCCTGTGAGCACAGGGCTTCCTGCTGGGAAAATCCAGCATCGGCTCTGCCCGCGAGGATTAGCCAGCAGCAAAGGGTTGGGTCCTTCTTTTCTTCTGCAGAGGCTCAATGTACTGTTACTCTGTTCCTCGCACGTCCACTTCAGCAATACTTGACCCTCCTGCTACCCAGTAGTTAAAAAGCACCTCGTCTTCCAGCTGCTGGGTGACGTGGGTGCAGAGCAACCTGTTAGTGATGGCTGGCCAGCATTGTGTGGAGCTGTGGCTGGTCAGAGCCAGGTGTGACAAGGCTAAGGGTGATGTTTAGCACTGTCCCACCTGGTCTCTTGTTCTTCCAGGTGCATGTTTGCCTACAAACTGGGCCTCCAGGATCTGCCACAGTCAGTGGCTTTCTTCAGTGCAGTGGATGTGGACCAGTGCTTAAGGAAAGAGGTGACCATGAACTGTGTGACACCATCAAATCCAACTGGCATGGAGAAGAAATATGGCATCCCTCAAGGTGAGTGGTGCCCGTGCAAGCTAACCCTGTGCTCCCCCCTGCACGAGCCTCCCCAGCTTAGGCAGAGCACTTGGCCTAAGCAGCTCTGTACAGCAGAGGCACCTTGCAAGCCCCTCGCTTCCCCACCCATCGCCTGGCCTGCAGGGCAACAGCCACCCTGGTGCCCGCCCCACTCTGTCTCTCTCTTTCCTTTTACACTCCCCGAGTAGTTTGTGCTGCTGCTTCCAAATATTCCTGACAGGCATGAGCTGGACATGGCTCTGTTATCCCATGCACGTTTGCTTTGTGCCTCTCAGAGAAGAGCCCCCCCCACCTGCTTTTAACACAGCCCAAGATTGAATTGTTCCCTCGGCCTCAATGACCTTGTGCGTTTTGATTTTCCAGGCTCAGGTGCTTTCTCTCCGTCCCCACCCATCCCAAGGCCTACAGTTGTCCCTATCTGCAGTCAGTACAACCCTCTAACTACTGCAAGCAAACATTTAACTCTTGGCCGGGAGCTGCTTTAAACAGCTCCTCCTTGATGTGCAGCAGCATTTTCCCAGATAAGGAGAAGAACCTGCCCTTGGGTTTGTTCTCTCAGCCATTGGACATCTCAGACACTCCACCCTTCAGTAGCCTTTATTAGGAGTCTTACAGGCAAAGGGTGCTTTTAGAAACAGGCTTTGTGTTCTGGGGCAAAAAGGGTACTTCTGATCTCACCAAGAACAAGGCAAATTAAACAAGTGCATCACATCAGGGCCAGCAAAAACGTAACAGCAAAACCAGCCTCACCAGAGGAAGCTGTCACATCTCTGCTTCTCAGGAGCTGCACACAGCAGCAAGCTTCAGCTCCGAAGTAGAACAGCTCGTGTTTCCAGCTTCCTACTGGTGCTGGTTCCTGTGTTCACACCGCCACACAAAACAGAAGTTTGAATAAATTTAGGGCTTTTTGTGCTACATGCTCTGAACTAAAGTAAATCATGACCGTCAGTCTCTTATGTTACACAGTCTCTGAGTGTACTGCAGAATGCAGGGAACTGATTGTCCCATTGTCTTCCAGGAGAAGCACTGGATATATATCAGCTAATTGAAATAACCAAAGGTTCGCTGGAGAAGAAGTGATGACGCTAGAGTGCCAGAATGACAATTGTCCAGAGAGCGTGCCAGAGCCTGACTGTCCTTTCAGAAGGAGAACTTTTGGCAGGGTCTGATCCCAGTCACTCTGTTTCCTTTTTGCTGTAAGAAGGGATGTTCCTGGGGAAGAAGATTTTGATAGCAGCACATTCAAATAGCAGAGGTGCTTCTGAGGGCAGCAACCACCTGTAAAACCTGAGACAGGGGCCAGAGTCGCTGCTTGCACACCCATGGGCACAAAGGAAGGAATCATAAGTATTTGGCAAGAGAAACAACAAACGATCATCTCCATACATGCAGTTCTCCAAGACCAAGACGAGTCTGCTGCAGAACAGGCACTGTAGGAGGAGGCAGCAGCGGCAACCCTAGCTTTATTTTTTTCGCTGTCTTTTCTTTTTGGGTTCCTGGTTCTCATCTGTCTGCTCTGTGGTGCTGCTCTGGAGAGGGAGGGAGAGAGTAGCAGTATAGAGTGTGATTGTTTTTGTCTGGTTAGTCTAAGGAATGTTTACCTAAAACAAGAAACCACATATGCAGAACAAGATCCAGCTCTTTATCCTGCCTAACAAAATGACCTGAATATGGCGCTCTTCTCACCCACTGAGGCTTTCCCCATGGACACCCCCCCCCAATTCATGCTGGAACTTAGACCACAGGTTATGAATGGCACAGGACAGGGACTGTTTGTGCTGGGGTTTGGCTTGTTGAAACACTCAGGAAAATATGGACAGAAGCATCAATAAAAACCTGGACAATCACCAAAGTAATTTGTTGTTGTTTTTTTTTTTTTTTATCCAGCACAGGCTCCGCTACCTTCTAGTAGAGGAGATGGGTGTGAGGAGAAGGATGCCTTGCAGAGTTTGCCCTGCCAGCTGTTTATCTACAAAAGTTAGCCTGGATGCAAAACCACTTTGCATCATGCTGCAAAGGTCTGATTGTGGCCAGCCATTAGGTCCTCAGGGGTAACACTGACAGATCTCTGCTTGCTGAGGCAAACAACAAGGCCTTAAGAGCAGCCTCACTTCCCTAAGACCAGAAGTACAGGCAATTGGTGCGTGGAAATAAAGGTCAGTCGAGGCAGAGGGCTGGAGTGTAGGGGATGTGAGCCAGACTAACTGTTCACACCTTCCTATCAGCTTAGTCTTAAAGTGAGAGCTCACCCAGGGAAGACAAACTGCTCTAATTTCACATATACCTGCACAGCTCACAAACAAATACAATTGGCTTCAAAAGAGGGGGAAACCTATTGATAAAAGCAGCTAATGGTCTGACCTGGTCATTGTCTGGCTCATTTTCAGCATCCTCTGTGTTACGCTCCTGCAGCACGCTGTCTAGCATAGATGCATTGATGCGGAAGTCCCGGGAGGTGCTTAGCTTCATATATTGCATCAAGTTCACCTGCAGCAACCAAGGTGAAACCAGGGAGAGAGGATATTATGCCATTAGCATCTTAGTTTAGTTTGCGACCCTGCCTAGTCCTTTGCACAGCACGGGAACCGAGGCCATCACTGTAGTAATGCAGATTGAAGCAAAAGGTAGGTGAAAAAGCACCTGCCCCCATGCAATCCTGTGGCCTGTTTGTGTTTTCGTAAAAGCCCATTGATTACCAGCTACTCTCACTCTCATGTAGTACCTCACCGTGGTACATTTCTCTCCTGCTTATGAAACAGGCTGGGGGAGAGGGGTGAGGAAAACTGGCATTAGGTGTGTGAGTTTCTGCTCAAGCAGAAACAGTATGATGTTAGGTCACAGACAGTACTGCCATTGACAGCTCCTGGTATCGGTGTGACAGCAATTCTGTAGCGGTGGGCCAGGAGCTTGGGCAAAGGCTGAGAGAGGTGCAAGGTTCTTACACCTTCCTCATTTGAGCATTAATACAGATGTTAAAAGGTGGACTCAGCAATAGCCCTCCACTGTGCCACTGATCCCACTGTTCACTGAGTCCAGGTCACAGAAGAGCTCTGCTTTACATTACCTTTGATTTCTTGGAGAGATGGATAAGGAACTTCTCATATTGCTCTATTGCAAAAATCAGGTTTGGGATTGGCTTGGTGTCCCGAAGCACCTTGGCCTGAAATGCAGAAAGGAGTGTGACAGGTCAGATTGGGAAGTGAACAATGACACTGTAGCATGACCTGAAGACTGCAACACTCCCAGTTTACAGAAGTGTCTTCCGTAGCCTTGCTCCATACCAGTCCTGCCCCAGCAAGCCTTGCCAGCTTGGGTACCAGCTTTAAATTGTCTCCCACGAGTTACTGTTTCGTACTCTGCCTGCAGTCCACAGCCCTGATTGATTGATAGGCCTGACAGCCATCAGAGCAAAACTTCCTCTGCTCCAGCTCTGCAAAGGCATCAGAAACATACACTTCCCAGGCAATGAGGACATTGCTGTTTCACCACGTTTTTGCCCTGTTTATTTACCATCACTGATGTTTGTTCCCCATGGTAATAGAATGGCCCATTGCCATACACTCAGGGAACAGCTAGGAAGATGATGCCTGTGGCTTTTAAACCCTTAACATCACAGGAATGTCTGGGATAACTGATGAGACAGAGGAAATGCTGGCTGGGAGCGCAAACAAAAGACAAAAGCCCAGGAACCTGCCAGCTCGCTCCCTTGCTCGCAATCAAATCATCCATTCATTCTCAACTGCCTTACTTTATTGGAATTCACTACTATATCTTTAAATGTACTGATAAAATTAAGAAACACTTAAAACAGAGTGCCATATTGGTTCCAATAAATTAGCCCATTTCCGTAATTTCATAGCTTACCCCAAATAATAAATATCAGACAAGACAGACTATGCAGACTTGACCTTTGTTTCATGTCTGTGAGTTTTTAGGCTGCATTTAGTGAAGGTAGCTTTTTTTGGGTGGGGTTTTTTTTATTCTTTTGTTTGGTGTTTTCTTTTACACTTTTCTCTGAAGTTAAGGTAGATTAAATTTGATTTTTACTTAAAGGCCCAAATGACAATTGGTCGTTGGAGATCTATAAGAAGCCACCAGGTAAAATAAGCCTTGAGGTATGATCCCATGTTCAAATACAGCCCACGTTGTAACAGAGAGCAAGTCAATCTTACCATGACTGTGGAGATTGCAGCAGCTTCATCCTCTTTCTTCTTCTTTTTTTTCTCTTCTGCAAAGCTTAAGCTCTCGCTGTGGATGTTCTGAAGGAGGATGCCAAAAGATGCGGTGTTAGAGGATAAGCAGGGAAGAAAGACCAGCCAAGTAAGGCCAGAGAAGTCTTTGCTTTGGCCAGCTAACAGCATTATCAGCTAGATAACAGAAAGGTAGCGATACAAGAAGGATGGAATTGGGGGGTAATCTCAAAAAAAAAAAAAGGCAAGAAAAACTAATTTTATAATTTATACATTCAGAAATATGTATGTCTGAGAAGTCCTGACAAGTAATAGCTCTGCACACCACTACACCTTCCCCAATATGCCACATCTGTTGTACAATTCCCGTGGTCCTCACTCAAGCACCCAATTCCTCTCCAAGCAGCTAAATCCCATCTTTGGCACTGCAGTCTTTGGCACCCACGTTACTTTACACTGTGACGACCGCAGTGTTGTTGACCTTTATTTGCCATTGTGGCTAACAGCAGTAGTAATCTCACCCAAAAAAAGGCCACATGAACAGAGGGAAAAAACCCAAACAACTAAAAACCAGGTCCCCAAATACTCTTCCTTCCCTGCTCAAGCAGAAATCAGCATGCTCCATCCCAATGGTGCTGAAATGTCTTACACTATTATTTGACATAGTAAAGCTTGAACTATAAGAAACTCAAGTCATGTCAAGAAGATTAATAATCCCCAAAGGTGCCCATGTACTGCAGCTGATACACCACTCAGCATCAGATGGACTGACTGTGATTTTGCCAGTTAATTTAGGCCTTACCTGTACATAAGTAATGAATGAGTAACACTGGGGGGTCAAATGGGAACCTGAGAGCTTCACCTGCAGAGAAGCAGAGAAGTTGGTGTTACTCCCACCTCAAGGCAATGAGCCATTTCCTCCAGCAATTTGCCCACACTCACCAGCTTTTCTAGCCTTCCTGGAATCGTACTGGAGGTGCTGCGGCAAGCTTGGATGTACTACAAGGAAAACAGGAGAGTTTCTTCTAGGTATGCTGCTTCCAGGCAGGGCTCAAAACAGCTTGTCTAACGGCACAGTGGGGAGAGCAGGATTTGCAAGAACTATCCTCCCCCGTGGCTTGCTGTATCCCAAACGCCATGTCTACATTCCAGAGCTGTGAGAGAGCCAAGGGAATTCACCAGCTTATCTCAGACTAGCTCCATTGGCCTGTTTTCATGGCCGGCTCCCCCAGGTCTGATGCTTCAAGCCTTAGATGGGAATGAGTGGGAAGGGCAGGACTGAGAACATCACTAGTGTCATTCATTGTGGCACACAGCTGCACACAGAGGAACCTACAAGATAGACTGGAAAGAACCTCTCCAAGCAATGCACAGTCAAATTCAGCTGAAGAGAAGTTTTCCTTTCTCTCCACTGGTACAACTATCACTGCTCAGACAGGTCATGAAACTGGGGGCGTGAAAGCCAACAGAATAAGGACTCAACTCCTGCAAGAGATCACCAGCCCAGTTCTGAGCATAGCTGCTGCCAGGGGTCACTGTGAGCTTGCTGTAGCAGATGGGGGAAAAAGTTTTTAGATCCCAGCCAGCCCACTGTCAGCAGAACAGCACTTACATGTTTGATGAGGGAGGTGAGAATTGCGTACGTCTTGCTGAGGCTTCTCAGCAGTGTGTCCACACAGCTCCCTGCAGGGAGTGCTGTCTGTACCAGCTCGTGATAAACTGTCAGTAGAGTTCCCAGCTGCAGAATGACACCTTTCTCCAGAGCCTGGGTTTGGTTTGATGCCTGAGAAGAGTCTTCTGGAAGAAAGAGATGGATACCTGGTGGATGTGTGTCTAATTAATCCAATTATGCAGGTGGGAGGCACAATAGACCACCTCTGTTTCTGGTGC